GTTTTGATTTGATCCAATCGAATCACATCGCATTGAATTATCAAAAATTTTATTGACTTTTTATTGTCCAATGAACGCAGACGTTTTGCATGAAAGATTAGATACACAAGACATATCAAATCTAAAATATCTCATTTGTATAAACAAAATTTTGTATGATAATGAATAGCAATGAATAATACAACGACAGATACAATTACAAATGCAACAGCAGCTACAACCACGATTAATCGAAAATTAATAAATTGATCATTTAGAAAAACCGTTAAAATAGCTAATGGGAAAATTCTGATTGTTATATGTTTTCTAAAAAGTCTTTAATAGTGATTCATTGAACATCGATACAATATTGAAATAAATCAAGCACATCAAGAAATAATTACATGTAATTGAAGATTCGATATGGATAGTATAGAATACAGGATTTCACACAACCAATCGTCCGCTCCCTTCGTTAAACATTTAGTTAATCGAGGATATCTATTCTACGTCTGTTATCACACTGTTCCGTATAAGATGTTTTCTCACCTATCAGCAATTCTTTTATTTTTTGTTCCATTGTGCATGTGTTTAAGACACTCCCCTTCATCTTCATTTATACACCTAAGACACTCTGTTCAAAAGACATATCTCATGCTTCTGGAACTCTAACTTTCTTTGATTTTCGAAAACTTTTCAAGTTCTTGATTTCATTTGAATCTTATCATAGTTTATACTTTTTAAATTCCTTCCAAATCTTCTGCACCTCTGTTTCTTTCCCTTTTCTATATTTCTTGGGAATTTTTGTGTATTCTAGAATTTCAGAAATCGTTGCATTCTCTTCTTCTTTTATGGAATTTCTCAAATTCATAAATTTTTTGCAGTTTCCAGACAACTTAACTTCATTGAGTTCTTTTGATTGTGGAGATTCTGCAATCTTCTTTATAAAAATAAGAAAGAAATTTTCGAATTAAGCTTACTCCTTCTGTGATAGAACTCTCACTGGAGATACACCATCAAATAGCTAAAGTATTATGAGAAACTTTCATAACTTAACGATGATTCATTGGTAGATGCATTTCTCTTGCTTTAACTTATAAAACACTTGAGCATCAGCTTTCCATTTATGAAGGAAAAATGTCTGGATTCTACAGGATCTGGATTGTTTATTGTCAGAACCATTAGATTCTATCCTATTATCTATTTGTTTAACTCTTGTTTTATTTTTTTCACAATTAAAAAGTGATCATCATCGATTTGTGATACAACATAGGTACCGTTATACGTATATTTTCGTTTCATGTTTCTAATACATGTTTAATCATAAATATCTCTAGATCGTTTTTTCTGTCATTATTATGGTATTAAGAATCTGTTGCTACTTTATTTCACGATCTATTTTTCTTTGAGCTATAATAAGAAAAGAACGCAAGAGAAGTATACAGGACTAAATATCTGAAAGTACAATATTGTTCGAAGAAAAAATTGTAACACTCCTACAACGAAAACTCAGCTAATATGTTTTTCTCGCCTCACAAATGAATAAAACATTCAGTCTGAATAGAATTGGCGTATTACAAAAAAGATCTGTTTGTTTTCTTTGTTAATGTTAGAACATTTGTATATTTATCGTGATGATAAGAGAAACTATATATGCCTCTTTCTGCATTCCCTGACTTCGCTTAAAGCAGACGACTGGATTTTGTACAACAGGAAATTTCCTGAAACATTCAAATATACAGTTTCTTTTATTGCATAACAATTCATTAAATAACTAAATGAATATAAAAAAGACAAGAACGCATTTCATAAACAACAGATAAAAATAGAACCTATTGCAAAATTTTTGTTTTTCAGAAGCATCGAATTTCAATGACCAAAAAGTAGTAGTATAACCATCTAGCATAATAATTAATGACTTTAACACAAAACTCATATTCAAATGACTTACATTCAATTGATTTCCTATTTAAAAAAGTTTTGCATAAAATAAGCTGAGTTCCAAATTAAAGAATAAAGACTAGTTCTTTCTCTGTTTCAATCGTGCGATTATTTTCTTATATTGTGTATCACTCGGTATTATTAATCATTCATGTAATTTTCTAACTTCTTTTAATCATGAGCTGTAAGTTACATTGGCGACTGACGACAAGTGGGGAAATATGAATCGGTCTTTAAAACCTTTAATACTTTCATCAAAATCGCAGATATATGTGATGTAATGAAGGTCTTGTTTATTGTTCTATCTACATCAACAGAGTTGATTGAAAAGTGAACATTTGATAGCTAGCTATCATAAAGAAGCTTTAATTATAAACCGATTGTTCTAAAATTATTATAACAAACTGTATTTTATATATATTTGATTATGCATAATTCACATAAAGGGTGATATATTTTTTCCAAAAGATACTCGCGAAAAGCTCTACAAAAATTGCTAGACTAATCTCTTACTAACATGCTTCAATGTTTTTTCATATAGTCAAAAAATTAAACATCTACATATTCGTGCTACTTCCCATTTTATTTAAAACTATAGAATCTTTTCGAAAATCTTTTTTCTGCTTTTGCAGTGAAAATACATTTGTTACTAGAGTACATTATTATCAAAAACTTTTAAAAAGCTTTTCTCAAATGTTTTTCCATTCTTTTTCATTAAACATTTTTTTGTAGATTAAGTAGATAAAGACACAGCATGTCTAGATTGTATTTTAACATAAAACTTCATATGAACAGAAATAAATGTAATTCATTGTTTATTCTATAATAAAACACTCTCTTCATAATGATGTTAACAAAGCATAGTAGATATTGATTAATAGTTTATATGTTGCGCAATGAACACAATTAAAGGCAGTCGAATCATTTTTATCATCATATCCTTACATGCTGCTTTACTCAATGTTCTTAAATAAAAGACAGATTTCTGTAAAAACATGAAGTTGAGATAATTTTCGAAGAAACTCCATTGTAGCCTATGTATTTTGCTCTAATATAAAAAAAATATGTCAAGATGCAAGGTACAAATTTTTGAAAACATAAAAATTCTCATACCTGTATTTCCTTGAAAAAGTAAGAATTAAAAATCATGTACACTCATCATTTTTGTAGAGTTGAAAAGTGCGTTCACTTCTGTACAAAAAGTTGTGCCTAATATGCATTTCATTGTGAGAGCAACTTTTGCAAGAAATTAGAATTTATGTAATAGTATCTCAAATTCAGAGTCTTTTTATCTAATGCTAGTGCGTAACATAAAAGCTTTTCTTTAAAGATTCGGAACTTTTACGTACATAAAAACATCGTTTTATATGGTGAATAAAACATGATGATGAAATATGTCGAAAGTAACAGTGTTATCTTTAAATAAGATGTATCATTCAAAACAAGATAGTAACTTGTCTCAAATGATTTAAGATATAAAATGTAATTTTTTGAGACCTTTTTATTTTTGCATTTTGAACTCAGAAAAGTAGAATTATGTCTTGAAAGAATAAGATTTTCTTGTTGGTCCGAATTTAAACTCTAGGTGCAAAATAATTAACAAAAACTGTAATTTTTTATGTTGGAAAGTTGTTCACTAATATTAACTTTCTTTTGAAACAACTCTAAGTTCTATGTTTTTTGTAATGGTATAGTCTAAAGAGATTCTCAGTTTATGGCTTAAAACTCTTATCATAAGTTAACTTTTAGTTTAGGTCGCTTGGTGGAACTGAAATCTTCCATTATACAAAAAAAGCATACTTTTCATTAAGATTAATTGTCTTTGAAAACTGTGGGTCCGAAGACGAATCTTTTAAGAGGTCCAAATGACATGTGAGCGTAGATTTTATCTTAACTAGTAAAAACACGTCACGATAATATTATTACATCAAAAAACGTGTAAAAAAAAGAAAACTATATATGAAAAGAAATGTAACGTAAGAATCAATTGACTCTACAAGCACAAAATAATATGCCAAATGGATGAATTTGTAATGAGCGTCACATTTTTGTAGAGAAATGATATGAAGATGAGAACAAAATAGAGAAACTCTTTAGTATACATTTAATAAACACAAGAAAAATAACACATAAGAAAATAAATAAAATAGTTCAATTTCTGATTATCCTAATTTTTCTTTTTGATGATTCGTGTAGAAATATGAGATTTTTATTTTCTCTTTCTTAATCTATCTAGAAACATTTCCGAATTCTTCTGAAATTAAAAAGAAAGGCAATATAATAAATAATTGAATATTTTTAATAGGGTTGTTAATATCTGATAATATATCTTTAAAGGAAAGGTTTTATAAAAATCTACATGAATATAATGAAGATTTTTCTTTTTAATTTTTTTTTTGAAGTACTCATATTCTTCCAGGTTCTTTCTCGTTCTATCTACTAGTCGCTAAAAGGATGTGAAATTTCAATGTTTTCTATATATATATATATATATGTACAGAAATGCTCATGATCACATTTTTTTAAAAACTAAAAAACACATATGTTATTTGTGAAAGAATGACTACCGTGACCTCCTTCTCTTTTCAAGAAAAAAAGGCTGTGAGTGGGCGTGTCGGTGAAAAGAGAAGGCACACCCTCCATAAAATCTGTATGAGCAAGTTCCAATCACGAAACAAAAATAGTCATTCAAATATTTAATACTATGGGACATTGAATCGTCATTGGACGTATTCATTTTGAGTATAAGAGACACCATCAGAAATACTCAATGGAAATTTGTTTTTACAGTTTTGTAGAGTTTTTCATGGCACATCTTTTAAAAAAAGAATCAAGATTATACGATTGATCTCTACTGAAGTATTTGAAAAATACCAAATGTAGCCAAACTTTTGGTATACTCAGTATTAATGGGTATTTGATGACGAATTTTGTAATAAAGAAAGTCAAACGAGAAGCGAAGTAAATAACTTTTTGATAGTGTCACCTTCTTCAAAAAAAAACAAAGAAAACATCCATTAAGAAGAGAAATTTGACAATGAATCAGAACTTGGAACGATGTTGATTTTACGATAATTCAAATGGACTTTTCACTTTTTCCTCTCTATAGCATTACTCCTTTTCTTTTCTCTCTTACGTTATCATATGATCCTCTCGTTTCTCCCTCTATTTCAGTTCATCCATTACGTGGAAGCGCCATTGACATTCATCCAAATGCTTACTGGGAACAAAATGGTATTACAGTAGCTGGAGGAAAAGGAAATGGCTATGGAACCGATCAACTCAACAATTCATGGGGTTTGTTTGTGGATAATGAACAAACAGTCTATGTCGCTGATCCCAACAATCATCGTATTATGGAATGGAAAAGGGATGTGACGAGTGGCCAAGTGGTTGCCGGTGGAAATGGACAAGGAAGTGGAGAGATCATCAATTGTCTTATCCATATGATGTGATTGTCGACAAAGAGACAGATAGTCTCATCATATGCGATGGTTGGAATAACAGAGTGGTTCAATGGCCTCGTCGAAACGGAACAAGTGGAGAAATAATCATCTTCAATATCACTTGTGTGGCTTTGACAATGGACGAGAATGGATCTCTCTATGTCGTTGACAAAGGAAGACATGAAGTGAGACGATATCGAAGAGGAGAATCGAAAGGAACAGTGGTTGCAGGTGGCAATGGAAGTGGAAATCGTCTTGATCAACTCAATGAGCCAACATACGTATTCGTCGATCGAGATCATTCAGTGTACGTATCTGATTGGAACAACCATCGTGTGATGAAATGGTTGAAAGATACAATACAAGGCATTGTTATGGCTGGCGATCAAGGACGAGGAAATGATCATATACAATTGTCATATCCTCGAGGATTCGTTGTCGATCAATTAGGCGCTGTCTATGTGGCTGATGCAGGAAATGATCGAATCATGCGTTGGCCCAAAGGAGCCACACAAGGAAGTGTCATTGTTGGTGGAAATGGTCAAGGAGGAAACTCGAATCAACTCAATTGGCCCTTTGGTTTATCATTCGATCGACACGGCAATCTCTATGCCGTCGATCGCTATAATCATCGAGTACAAAAATTTAACATTGCCTCAAATTCTTAAAACACTATGCGAATGCTATTTTTTCTTTGCTTTTCAATAAATATGATTCGATTGCTTTACATTCTCGTTTCTATTGTATTCACGCGCGTGTGTGCGCGACCTCAAACTATCTCCCAACGTTTCTAGCCGGTGTTTACGATCAATCCGGAAGACATGATAAGATTTTATAAATGAATAACCCGCTATTTCTCCGTAACGGAAACCCCCTTTTAAAGCTTCAGAGGTAAAATAGAAGATTAGTTAAAGTATAAAAATGGACGTACCTACATTGTATTGGATGCAATGTTATGAATCTAAAACGAAAAGACGACTTATATTAATAATTGTAAAATTATGTAAAAAGAAATCAGAACTTACCTAGATGAAGCCTGGAATAGAAATACAATTGCTGATCTGAAACTAAAAGCAAGAAAAAAATTTGATCAAAAAGATTAAGCGATGAGTAGAAAATGATTCATTTAGTTTTAATAGTTCTTTTTGATTTGCTGAATTTTTACACAAAACATCAGAAGTTCTTTATTTATGTATAGTATATGGTAGATCATCGATTATTCTATCTAATTAAATATTTTCATTTGATTCAGTTGGAATACATCAAAAATCTTAATGAGTTTCAAGGAGCACAAATAAAATAAATCTTTTTTTCTGTTAAGTTTTCAGATGTTCTCTTCGATTAGTCCAAATAATTATCAATTATTAGACAAGTCATTTATTTGTATTCATCCATTTTATACTTGATCAAATATATGCACATATTTCAGTTTTACAAAATAATTCAGTAATTTTCGAAAAATCCTTTATTGAATATTTTAAATTCTCTTCTTGAATTATTAGTTTTACTAGTTTGTGTGAAACTTGTATTTATTGGGCGATAGAATTTTTTTTATTTTCTTATCAATAGATGCTACATACGTCAACTGGACACTATTTATTAGATAGAGTAATCAATTGCAGTATGAAACCATATAAAAATTTTAAAAAATCTTTGATGTTTCGTAGAAATACAAAAAAATGAAAAAAATACTAGTAAAATTAAGTGAGTCATTTTTATAATTATTTATCTCAAATGATCTCGATGAGTATATAAATATAAAATGAAAAAAAAAAGTTCAAAACGACATCCACAATTTTTATTTTGGAGTAATTTTGCTTGTGGTTGTTATTTGGTTGAAGACCAACCTAAAATAGAAAGAAAACAGAGTAGTATTTATTCCGAAAATCGGAATGAAAATTCATTGAAAAACATGAATATCTATACTCATTTGAAAGAGGGAGAGAGAGAACTTTCTTTTTTCTCTCTCTTTCTCTTTGTTCTCGCATAGACTTTGTATCGATGATATTAATTGAGTTTTAATCATCATCAATATACATGGACATATATTGAATCATCCATATTATCCATGTATACCAGTAGATTGAACTTAATTGGGGTATGGGTATTTGAGTATTAGAATGTTCATTTCAACCGTATCTACTCACATCCAAAAAAAATATGTAAAGATATCTTTGACTTTCTGATAAAAAATGGCACACAGTCAAAATAAATAATAATTATGTTTTAGAAGTTCTATTTAATTTTTTCTTTTCATATATATTGAAATATGTTTTTCATAACTCGTTGTTTTTTAACAGACATTTTTTCATTATCAGATGAGTTGTCATTAGAATTTTCTTCATCATCTTCAATTTTACTACTGGCTGTTTGTTTTCGTTTAGTGCTCATATCAATTTCATTAGTATTTCGATCTTCTTGTCTTCATAGTGTTCAACCACCTTTTACATGTCTTTTAAAACAATAAAGATAATTTTATAAAATAAATAATCAAAATAAAACAAATTAACCTTTAACATTAACAGCATTTGCTTGTATCTCAAGTAATACTTTTTCAGGATCACGTTTCTTACGAACTTTTTCACATTCTTTAAGTGATAAACTACCTAAATTAAAAATATTTTTATTACAAAAAAATGATTTAAGATAATCAATTTTAGCTGTATTGGATCAAAATTGATCTAATTCAATTTTTTCATAACACCTCAAATACTACATATTCAAAGTAACTTTTTAAATGTTCAATACGTGCTTCTGTGCGATCACTACTACTTTTTTTATGTTAATCTTTTGGATCTTTTTTTTTGGGTTTAATTTTTTTATGTTTAGATTCATCTTCTGATGATACTGAGCTTGATCATTTTGATACATGTTGATTTTCTTCATCAGTTAAAATTCTTTTGATGTTGGTAAACAATCATTGTCTTTTGAATGTGGGTGTGTGTGAGTATTTACTAAAAATCCCACACCCACACCCTCATTTCAAGTTATTCTTTTTTTAAAACGTTTTTTTCTCGTTTACCATAAATATTAATGTTTTTTATAACTTCTATTTTAAATTCTGATAGAGCTTTTTGTTGAAAAGTTCATTCAGAAATATTATTTTCCAATGTAGCATTGATTAGCCTTTCATATCGCGTTTATTGATAAAGAGAGTCAAGTCTGTTCTTATTCATAATATTATGTAAAAGATTGAGATCAACAAGTAGAGGAATGAGCTTCTTCTTTACTTCTCAACTGTCTACATATTGATTAAAGGACAAGATTTTTTTTAAATCATTTAAGTTCAATATTTATCCTATCTCTTCTGTATTTTGAAATTGAAACATTTATGAAAACTCAAACAATCGTTTATAGAAATTAATTCTGATGTGCTCTCATAAAAAGAAATCGAATACTGTAAAGCTTAACAGTCAAAAAAAATTAAACACTACGAAATATTGTTATGGAAATAGAAAACGTTGAATTCTTGTAATTTCGTTAATTGTAATTATTTTAAAGAAAAATTTCATAGATTGTTCATAGAAATAAAATCTTGATTATATCACCTCTAATATGAAAATAAAATCAGCTAATAAAATTCAATCAATAATGAAGTTATATGAAAAATATTATTTTGAGCAGGAACTCTTTGGGCATCCTGTAAAGCTTCATGTCGACTCGTCAACAGCAGTTACTTCAAGAAGATTTATAGTAATTCTAAGGATAAGTTTGCTTTCTTATAATATCTAATTTCTACTACTCAGTCGCTCGAAAATCGAATTGAAATCTAATTTCTTCTATGGTTCTTTTTTTTTTTTTTACTATAAATATTCTATTTTGTTCAAAAACGTCAATATTAATTTCTTGGTTCTGAGGTATTAGGATGCTGGGTCTTCAAATAATCATTGACAATACGTGGACGTATAACAGTAAAGCAATGAATATTCTATACTTACGAAATTTTATGTCTATTCTCGTTATAATAAAAAACTCAAGTTTCATATTCAAAATAACTGCAAATGAGGTTGTTGCGCGAAAATATCTTTAAACATTACGGTTAACATATGAATGGTCTAGAGAAAATGAGGAACCAGTAACCATCTAACAGGTTTCTAATACTTAGAAATCTACAGTCCGTTTATCGAAAATAATAATATTCTACGTGAAGTGAGAACTGTCGCAAGTTTCGACTCAATTCTAGAAATGACATTGTCATCTTTGCAGGAGTCTTTCTATGTACTTTTCTCTTGAGTGATAAGCCTTTCTATAACGAAAAGGATTTGGTACTATAATATTCAATGCTTTTGAAATGATAATAGTCGAGTTGAGTCAGCTTTAATTTTAAAAGAAAAGGGCAAATATCAGAAAAAGAATAAAAAGAATATGATAAAACCGACAAAGTTTATTTTAGTACTAGTACTTTTATCAATTCGTCTATCATGAAGAAGTATAATGAACATCAGTTAACTAACACAAAAGATAATCGTCTGAAAATGTCTATTCCAGAGTCTCATAGTTGTAATTTCAATGAAGAAAGAATGGTGTAGTTGTAAAATAGAAAAAAATTGAAAAGTATCAATTTTTCTTGAAGTTTTAGAGTTGTAGGCTATACTTCTAGCTTATTTAAAATATATCACTTTCACATTTTAGCTCTAATGGGCTACACTAATATAGGTTTTTCTTTTTTTCTGCTTCTTGTTCCTTTTTTAATCTTTTAATCGCATATAAGTATCTTTCTGCATCTTTTCTTCACTTGCTTCTGGTCAAATTGCTTTTTTTTAGTCTTTTTTTATGCTATTTTTTTCTTTATCTTTAGTCTACTAATATCTACACAAACTGAGACAATACTCTATATAATGATATTTATCGTAACTGTAAAACTCATTGCATTTAGTACATTTTTATTCAATGTTTAAATATCATAATTTCTCTTTATATTATTATTTAAGCACTTTTGAGTGTTAGATTTTCGAGTTCAAATAAATTCTATCGACCATTAAATACATAAAGAAGCATATGTAGCAATTACGATCATGATCACAGAACGTTTTCATTCCTGCTGACATAATCAATGAGTTAACATGATATAATCAGTTTTAGCATGATGAATAGAAAAATCGAATTTTTGAGCAATTGAAATTAAATTTGTATAATTGGCCAGTATTGAAGGTTAAAATACTGTGTCATTGAGCGTTACATTAATCTGTGAATGATGTTTCCAATTCACATTTGAATAATTCAGGTGTTTTAACAAATAGACGTTGGTCCACTATTAAACCTAAACCTATGTCGTCGACACTAATCAATAATAGAATTTCGCCCATTTTTGTTTTCTTTTTCTTCTTTTGCTCTGCATGTAATTATTTGACTCAGAGGAGCAAGATACTTGTTGGATTTTATTTTACTGATCTCTGTGCAGAAACTATATACATGACAATCGTATTCTTTTCATAAAGATAACTGTTATCATTTTATTTGAGTTTATTCAAAAACTTGGTTTTGGCAAGTCAGGCATAAGTACTGTCATCATCTTTGTTGCTCTTTCGATTGAAGATATCACTGTTTAATTCAAAGCTAAAGTGAAAAATATATAATCATCTCTGATTATTTCTCCTTAGTTCTCTCTAGATTGTAGAAAATTACCAGTTATAAATGTTTAGTGATCTATTTTCTATCTGAATTTATC